GGCGTCGGTGCAGGCGCCGGCGCGGGCAGAGGCTCCAAATTGGGCAAGCGCCGGGGGCCGCTCTGCGCATGTGCAGGCGGCGCCCGAGTTTCACTTTGGTGAAACTTTTTAGTGGTCGGGACGTCGCCCCTCCCGGCCAGGTGGGACCCGACTGCTCCCCCGGCCGCGCCACCGCCGCAGGTACAGTGGGAAGGGGGCGTTGAGGACAGGGGATGTCGCCCTCCGCCTTTCCCGGGACGTGGGGGTCCACGCGGGGACCCAGGCCGGGTGACTGCGCGGTGGGGGTGCGAGGAGAGGGTCGGGGGAGGGGACCCCGCGCTCCTCGGGACTTCCGGACAGCCGAGGCCCCACGTTTCGCTTTTAAGGCTGTCCCCTCCTGCCTTTGAGCGTCCCCGGGGGCGCAGCCTGGGGGCTCTGCCTTCTCCAGCTCTGTGCGAGGCACGACTGGGAAAGGGCCTGGCGTCCGAGTCCCCCGACGCCGGGAAGGCGGAAGCCACCTTCCTGCTGTCCCTCGGTGACCACGCTTGGCAGCCCTGGCAGAGTCCCCAGGAGACTTGGGACTTGGGGACTTGGGGGAAGGTGGGCGGGGAAGGTGAGGAGCTCTGCTAAGAAACCAGATCTGCACAGGTTCCAGTACCCGATAAGACTGGCCACCTGAGACCCTGGGGTGGCCTGCGGCTTTGGGTCCCACGCTGTCCAGCCCTGCAGCCGTGGCTGTGTCCCAGCCCCTATGTTGTCAGGGTGTGAGGGTGAGCCGTGGACGTGGTCATCAGTGCAGGCCGGTGGGTGCCAGGCCGCTGGGGGAGGCAGGCTGGGGCCTCTCTGCGTCCTGGCTCCTGCAGGGTGTAGACACTCACCAGGGATAAGGAAAGGCAGGTCGCCCCTTACCGGAGACACAACCCATCTCTCCCGGCTGTTCCTGGGGCTCTCACAGGGAGGACATCAGACGGGGTCCTGCCAGCGTGTTTCCCATTAGCTGGAGCGGTGACTTAAAAGCTGACAGCTTTCCAGTGCTCACTAGGGCCAAGGCCCGGGCTAAGTGCTTTACAGGCATTGTCTTGGGTATGTGCCTCCCAAGAGCCCTCTGGGAGGAGGTCCTCGCCCCCATTTTATGGAGAAGGAAGCCAAGGCACAGAGTGGGTGACCACCTGTCTAAGGTGAGCCCTAACTCCAGAGCCTGCTCACCCAGTGCTGGGCCACACTCCCTCCTGTTTCAGCCAGAGGCTGTGCTGTCCCCTAGCATGTGTGAGGACGTAAACAGTTGTCCGGGTTCCTGGGCACTGTTTGGGGGTGCCATAAGGAGAAGTTTGGTGTACTTTGCAACCTGCTTCTACATCTGGAAGATCGGATAACTCTCCTTGAGGCAGACGGGCTGGAGCTGCTCTAGTCTTGCTGGCATGGTAACAAAATTGGACATGATCAAAGGACCCTGGATTTACGTGGGGCCTTCTTGCAAGAACCAACAACGTTCACACACTTCCTGCGGCACTCTGGTGGCATTTCTGGAAGGGAGGCACAGAGATTGTCACGTCTGTTACAGGGGCTAGTCCTTGCTGCCAGCTCAGGCGGGCAGCGGGTTAGCATTGGTAGTTGACTTCTTTGGCAAATTTGAGACCAGCTGTTGGATTGAGCCCTGTCCCATTGGCCACAACCAGACTCTTGGGAGCTCCTGGGCTGACCTTTGGGTTGGGGGCCTGAGGTCACCTGCTGCTTGCCTGGCTTCTGGGCCTCAGCAGTAATTCTTGGCTTTCCTACCCTCAGGGTACTGTGTAGGAATGAGGGGATGAATGGAGAACTTTCTGGGAGGCGTGGATAAGTGCTAAACATTGGCATTTACGTATCTACAAATATGGGATGACTGAATATTGCCAAAGACACCTAGGCAAGCACACCCTGTGGCTGCAGTGCCTGGTTTACTGGTCTGGCTTTCTCGCCATCACTGCCGGCCACCTCTCTGCCCCCAGCCTTCTCCTCAGCCTGGCAGGGCTGCCCCATGGTGGGTGTGTCCCCAGATGCCCTCTCGAGTACAGTCATGCATCACTTAACGACCGGGATACCTTGTGAGAAATGCGTCAGTAGGCGACTTTGTCATTGTGTGAACATCACAGGGTGTAGTTACGCAAACCTAGATGGCGCAGCTAGTGCACACCTAGGCTGTAGGGTATAGCCCTTTTCTCCCGGGCTATGCACCTGTGCAGCATGTTACTGTACTGAATACTGCAGGCAGTCGTGACACAGTGGTAATAAGCATTTGTGTATCCAAACACAGCTAAACAGAGAAAAGGGACAGCAGAAATATGAGTACAGTATTGTGATCTTATGGGACTAATGTCATATACGTGGTCCATCACTGACCGAGACATTGTTTGGCGCTGCCTGGCTGTATTCCTGTTTGGGGAGACACAGAGGCGTTGGCCCACTGAGAGCCAGAGGGGCAGGGACTTTTCAACAGGATCTGGACTTCACTTGTCTGATGGGCAGGGACAGGCGGTGACTCACTGCATGGCTGTATTCCTGTTTGGGGAGACACAGAGGGATTGGCCCACTGAGAGCTAGAGGGTCAGGGACTTTTCAACAGGATCTGGACTTCACTTGTCTGATGGGCAGGGACAGGCGGTGACTCAGCTGGAAGGTCTGAGAGAGACTGTGATCCCCACAGCTGTGCCCTCACCTGGGTGCCTCATCTGGAGGGGGCAGGCGGGGCAGGCCACCAGGCCAGGGAGCCCCGAAGCCAAGCCTGACCTCTGTCCCAGGCTGGTGGTATTTGCTGGCTCACCTCCCTAAATTCTTATCAAAACTTTGTGAAACCCCCTGGGGGAGCCTGTTTGGCTAGAGGAAGATGACACAGAGGTGTGACTGGAGCTGAAGTGCACGAAGGAGCAGCCCCGGGACCCTCCTTCCCTCCTTCCACCTCCAGCATTAAGCAGTGTTGGCGAGGCCCCCACCCCCACCTTGCCTTTGTGGGGACAATGCTCCCTCTGTGAGCATTTTATAGGGATTTTTTCCCTCCCACGTCACTTTCAAGCCTTCCTTGTTATCCTGCCGTGTTCCTTTACCCTATTTCAGCCCTCGGGAGACCTTGGGGAGCTTCCCCAGCAGCAGCAGCCCTTGAGGCCTGTGTGAGGTCCTCGGCTTGGGGTCCTGCGGAGAGCCCATAGCCACCAGTGCTGCTGTGGGGACAGGATGCGGGGCCTGGAGCCACTGGAAAAGAGGGGGGAGGCTGGAGCTGCAGGTGGTGGGGGTTACAGGAGCCAGCTCTGGGAGTTCGGGGACAGGGCCCGGCTGGAGGGGCAGAGCCGGCATCTCCGTCTGGCGTCCAAGTTCAGAGACGTGGGCAGGTGTGAGTGCAGGGGGAGGGGGCTCAAGTTTCTGTCCAGAACCCCTGGAATGGAAAAGGGAGACTCCCATATGACACCAGGTGTCTTCTGTGTTCCTTCAGGGAAGTCTGGAAAGGCTGGCGTCCCAGGACCCAGCGGTCAGGAAAGCCCTGTGGGAAATGAGTGGTGGGCCTGAGGCCTGGACTCCTGCAGCGTGGCAGGTGGCTGGGGCTGCCTGGGCCATCACCAGAGCCAGCTCCCACTGAGGACCTCTCCAGCAGGCCCATCCCCTGGCAGGTGGTAAGTGTGGGGACAGGAAGGAGGGGCAGGTGTTGTCCTTGCAGTGTCACTCTGAAGTGTTCTGTTGAGGTGGTGCCACTGGGTGGCTTTTAAGGAGGGAAGCCAAGAACATCTGTGCCCCAGAGGTAGATTTATGGCCTCTGTTCAGAGCCATCAACTCTGGCGTCACAACCCCCACTATCTTCAGCCAGGGCCGAGTCTCCTGCAGGGGTGAGAAAGTGACTTGGCCTTCCTGAGGAATGCTCCCACGCCCTGATCCTGGGCCTGCCACCCACCCTCCCTTCCTGCCCTTCCTGTGTGTGCACGTGTGTGCACGTGACTGTCAAGTCTCCTGCAGGGGTGAGAAAGTGACTTGGCCTTCCTGGGGAATGCTCCCACGCCCTGATCCTGTGCCTGCCACCCACCCTCCCTTCCTGCCCTTCCTGTGTGTGCACGTGTGTGCACGTGACTGTCCCCTGCACTGCAGTCCCAGGAGTCAGAACTGGGAGTCATCCCCCAACACCAACACCATACCAGCACTCCCAGGTAGTCCAAACATCTGTTTGGGCTCTCCACACCTTTTCTTCTTGTCCCCAAGATTTTTGTTCTTTTTTTTTTGGCAGCTGCCTGGCACAGGGATCCAAAAGATCTTCATCCTTCCGACAGGTAGACACCAGCACTCCCAGGTAGTCCAAACATCTGTTTGGGCTCTCCACACCTTTTCTTCTTGTCCCCAAAATTTTTGTTCTTTTTTTTTGGCAGCTGCCTGGCACAGGGATCCAAAAGATCTTCATCCTTCCGACAGGTAGACCAGACGTAGCAGGAGCCCCCTGGGATTCTAGTGTCAGCAGACCTGGGGAGGCGGGCGTGAGGGCAGGGGGCGCTGAGCATTGCTCCGGGCCCTCAGCCGCAGACAGTGAAAGCAGCCAGAACGTGGGCCCTAACTCCCGGGCCTTCGGTGTCAGGGGACAGACACTGGCGATTTCCACAGGTGTCACCAGGGCTGCCAGAAGTTTCAGCAGGGAAAGGCCAACCATACACCCCAGACTGATGTTTGCTTTGGCAATGCAGGGCCTCCCAGTCAGCCTGATGGTAGCTGGAGCGGAGGCCGCAGAGGGCGGAGCTGGGGGACCCCGGGGGCCCTGAGCAGGTTCTGAAACTCCTTCCCTCGCCCCACTCTAGACAGCCCCTTTGACTTCTCCTCTTCTCCGGCCACCCCTGGCCCTGCCCTCAGTCCCCCAGTGAGCTAGCACGTGTCATTGGTGGGCAGGAGAGGGGGCGAGGTGTAGAGAAGAGGCAGCTGGCATCTGCCCTCTGAGACTGGCTTTGGGACACTTCTGCACCGACCAGCTCCTGAATCTTGGGGCAGGTCATTAAACCTCTGAGCCTCAGTTTCCAAGTATATCAAATGGGCCCATGTCTGAGGGAGGTCACAGCTCTGACCTTCTGTGAAGGGTGGGAGCGAGGTCATGTCTGTGGTTCCCATGGGGGACCCTCATGCATACTGGGATGTCCCCTTCTTCCTGGTTCATTTATCCCTGTGTTTTCCCATTCCCTGCATTTGTGTCCTTCCTGCGTCCCCTGCCTGTACTCCAGATCCTCCAGTGGCTCCCCGCAGAGGTCCTTGAGACTAGAGGAGCTTTAGCACCTCTTAAGCCAAGCAGCCGCAGCGCCTTCTGTCCCTGCCTTCCTCCCTGGTCACTCCTGCCCCCTGCTGTGCCCTGAATGAGCCATCCACCCTGACCATCTGACCCTTGGGGACTGTTCCCACAATGGAGCTATTCTCTGTGGCACTGCCAGGCACACAGACGTCTGGTGTCCTGCTTTCCCCAATTCCTGGCTGCTGGGTCTCTGTGCCCCAGCAGCCCCTGGAGGTGACACCCATCTTTGGCTCTGCCAGCGCTGGCTGGGGACACTGCGGGAGAGTTTGAGCCCTGACCATCTGCCTCGTTCTGTTCTCCAGGGGGGACAGGCACGATGACCCACTCCCCATTCCTGGAGCTGCGGCAGTCCAAGGCGGTGTCCATCCGTGAGCAGCTGGGCCTCGGGGACCGGCCCAATGACTCCTACTGCTACAACTCGGCCCAAAACAGCACCGTGCTTCAGGGGGTCACCTTTGGTGGTATCCCCACTGTCCTGCTCATAGACGTCAGCTGCTTCCTGGTGAGAGCCCTGGTGAATCATGTCCCCTCCTCAGTGATTTGTTTGTCTGTCCCCACCCCTGTCCCCCAGGGCCTGCCTGGAAACTCAGATGAGGAGCCAGGATACACACCTGGGCTTGACTCCCAGCTCCGCCACTTACCAGCTCTGTGACCCTGGGTGTGTCCTGTCACCTGTTTGGGCCTCAGATTTCTGCTCTGGGAAGTGGAGATAATCATTCCTGCCTTGGGGAATTTTGGAGACTAGATAAGGCCGTGCTGGGGAAGGCTCCACTACGGCTATTATTGCAGAGCCATCAGCCAGCATGTCTTTAAGGCCCCTGGGAAGGGTCAGTCTCACGGGGATGAGACATGTGAGTGGAGCAAATGGACTAGGATTGGGTCAGTTGCAGTCCCCACCTCTGTGTGTCACCTCCTGTTCCCCTCTGCGATCCCTTGGGCTTTTAGAGAACCAGAAGCCCATTCTCAGACCTGACCCTCGGCAGGTGGCCTTTCTTTAATGTAGACCCCCTTGTTCACAAAGATCCCCCCGATTTGAACTATGTCACTGTTCTTTCTTACACCAACTCAACATTGGCTCGCTGAGATTTTGGGGAGTAAAAGTGCACCTTCTTTTCATAGGATGGTGGGTCCCTCGCGATGCCATCTCCTAACGTGGCGGAGACCGTCCGAGTAAATGGGGTCAGATGGGGGTGGATGGAGCAGACACACTTGGACTTGGGTGGGGACCCTAAGGGGTAGCTGTGGTAGCATGAGGGTACCAGTCCCTGGTGGAAAGAGGCCCTGGGAGGTAGGAAGGAAGGGTGCCAAACACAAATTTGCTGGCTTCGAGAGTGTTCCTAGGAAGAGGGGAGGGTGTTCCCTTCTCTTCTGATTTTTTTGTCCCTGGGATTAAGGTCGCCATTGCTGCATTAGAGTTTTGCTTCCCTATCTGCCCTTGGTGGGCCAAGGTGGGAGGGGTGGCCCTGGGTCTTCAGGGTGGGGAGGAGTGTGGGGCGGTGGGCTGGGCAGGGGCGAGGTGGGAACCTGTACACAGCCCACTTTGCTACCACGAAAAAGGGCTTTCTAGGTACCAAATAACTCATTTCTTGGAAGTGAAACCCATTTGTAGGTCAAGTGCTTTGTCATGTACACCAGCCTTGGTTGAGGGGGAGGAGTCAGCAGGGGTGTGGTGGCAGGTCTGAGAGTCGATGGCATTAACAGAGGAGGGGTGGCCCTGGGTCTTCAGGGTGGGGAGGAGTGTGGGGCGGTGGGCTGGGCAGGGGCCCCAGGTGGGCTGGGTGGGCGTGGCTGCAGCAGGGCAGGTTGAGAAGAGCGTTCTCCACTGGAGGGTGCTGCTGCGGCTGGATTTGTATTGCAGAAGTTACGGCAGCGGGTGGGGGGTGGCATGTAAGAGCCAGAGGGGCCTGGAGAGCGTGGAAGTGTGGAAATGCCCACACTACGCACGCCGAGACGGCAGCAGGCATGGCCAGGGGGCAGGCAGCTGCCAAGCAGCCTTCCTGTGTACCCTTCGTCGTGACTCACTAGCCTTTGAAAATGTGTCACCAGCTTCTGACTCACTTTGAGGAGATCCACGGGAACTCAGTACCTCTGGGGTTCAGGCCTCTGACAGTCCCACCCTGGGCCCTGATGGCTCCCTGTTTGCGTCACCTGAAGGGCGAAATTGAGTTCTAGATCTGCAGCCAGACACCCCAGCTCCAGCTGGCTGCTGCACACCCCAGGGGCTCGTGTCAGAGGTGGCAGCGGGAAGTGAGCCCCCACTGCCGCCCAGTGCCACCCAGGCAGACCCTCCACCCTTGCAGCCTGTGGTGACATGTGGCCTGGGCGGGAGGAGGAGGTGTACCTGTACATGCACCCCGCTTCCCCACAGTCTCCACGCTGGCATTTGTGAAAGCCCAAGGTGATGCCCATGGACTGTTCAGGGAGAACCTTTTGGGACATCTGATACCTTTACGGCACATTCAGCCCTAAGCAGGGCCACATACGACAATAGAAAGGGGCACTTGGGGAGCAGGAGGCCCTGTCACTTCCCTGGCTGTGTGATCTTGATCAAGTCCCCAATGTCCTGGGGTCTGTCTCCTCCTGCCCTCTCTTTCCCATGGGGTTACTGCGAAAGTCAAATGAGACAGTGTCTCTGTAAAGGCTTTGAAGGTTAAGTTTCATCACGTTTTATGCCATTAGAAATAGGATGTGTAGAACAGAAGTTTGGGGGGTTTTGGCAGCTGGCCAGTGCGGCGATCCGAACCCTTGACCTTGGTGTTACAGCACCACACTGTAACCACCTAGCTCAGGAGCCCCAGAACAGAGAAAAGCAAAAATTCACATCCTGAACATGCCTCAGATCCACAGTGCACAGGTTTTTTTCTTTTTTCTTTTTTTTCACAAGGTGTTTTTATGGGCTACTCGGGAGGAAGTATCTGATTAAAATGTCACAATCTAAAATGCCATAGTTCATTAGCTCTAAATGCACATTATGACATTTTGTGTATATGAGCGTGTGTGTATGTATATATGTGTGTGTATGTATGCGTGTGTATGTATATATGTGTGTATGTGACAGTGTGTGCATATGTATATGTGTGTGTATATGAGCGTGTGTGTAAGTATATATGTGTGTATGAGTGTGTGTATATGAGAATGTGTGTATGTATATGTGTGTGTATATGAGCGTGTGTGTATGTATATATGTGTGTGTATGTATGCGTGTGTATGTATATATGTGTGTATGTGACAGTGCGTGCATATGTATATATGTGTATATGAGTGTGTGCATGTATATATGTGTGTATATGAGTGTGTGCATGTATATATGTGTGTATATGTATGCGTGTATATGTATATATGGGTGTACGTGACAGTGCGTGCATATGTATATATGTGTATATGAGTGTGTGCATGTATATATGTGTGTATATGAGTGTGTGCATGTATATATGTGTGTATATGANACCCCTCGCGTTGCTACTGGACACAGGCCCCTGAGCTGTCCCAGCTTGCAGAGGCCAAGCAGCCCAGAGCCCCAGGTCCTGGTGGGGCATCATTGCCAGTCCTCTGTACCCGGGATCCGAAGGCCTTGCGTGCAGGAGAACCACTCTCAAAGCAAAAATCTGGACATTTCTGGCTCCACCTGGGGAGGCTCTGCTACCTCGGTTCTGTAATTGGAAATGGAATTCCGTGTAAACTGAGGAAGGGAGCTGGTTCCTGGGCTGCCGTGAGGCCAGAACTTGCCTTCCTGCTCAGGGGCTGCAGAAGGCAGATCTGAGCCAAGATCAGGGTGGTGGCATCCATGCCGCTTTGAGAGAAAGGTCAGGGCTGCCGTGCTTACCAGGAAGGCCCTGGGCAAGCTTGGGCCAGGGCTGATAGCTGTGGTGACTTGGGAGCTGGTGAAGGGGGTGAGCCGAGCCCTGGGCCACTGAGCTGTGTGGCCTTAGGCAGCTCAATGCCCTCTCTGGGCCTGGATGATTTCCTTCTGTCTCTGCTGAGTCAGGGCAGGTGGGCTTTGCCCCTGAGACAGTCGTCTGTTCTAACTGGAAGCCATCCAGTATGCTTTTACTTGGTTTCTTTTCTACTTTTAGGTTTTAATCTTGGTGTTTTCCATCATAAGAAGAAGATTCTGGGATTATGGCCGCATTGCCTTGGTATCAGAAGTAGACAGGTAAAAAAGACACATTGCCGAGAATGTGAGGACGTGTGCACATCTGTGTAAAAGTGTGTACATATGTATATGTGTACGTGTGTGTGTGTATGTGAGAGTATGTGTATGTGAGAGTATGT